GGTTTCGTAGAATTTCTGGTAGGTCACATTTAAGCACTACCCTTTAATTCAACTGGAATGGCGGCTGAAAGGCGGGACTTCGAGAGCTAGAGAATGATCATAGAGCACTTCGCGAGGGAGACTCAGAGTGCGGCCAGGTGTGAGCGGCTACCTTCCAGCCGCCAATTCCGTTGCATCAAGGGGTATGCTATCTCCGTAATTTGTGAAAAACTTTGCGATTTTGTCACAGGGTTTTGTACGGGTTTTGTCGGGTAGAGGACTATATGTCGTTGAAAGTGGGAGTCCCGCGCGGACAATTCAGCAGATACTCAGCCAGTGCATGTATTGGAATGTGTATTTGTTCCGGATGTCCGGCGGTATAGTCTCCTACCCGGTTTTGTCCTTACTCGATCAATTTCTAGACTTCTACTAACGCATTATGAATGACAGCACCGTAAAAGTTGTTGACATATTGTCGATCAATTACTTTGGTAAGCCGCATAAAAGTATACAATAATTTTTGAGATGTGAGGACCGTTCAGCTTTGTAGTAAGTGTACTCACCTCTGCCACGTCTTATAAGTATAATATCCTATAACAAAAGGTGCTATCAGCAATGATGGTGTGATTTTGGTAGCCAGTAATCTACACAGCTTTTCCACATCCTGTGTTATGCGTTGATCTCTGGAAAAAGGAAAAAGGACAGAAGTCGGTGAGAAACATTAAACTTACGGATTATCAATTCCTTTGTTGTCTATACTGTTGAGAGTATAATAAAGGTTATGGTCAAAATACATTTGATGAAGTGATGTGACAAAATTTTTACGAAAGCATAGGTAAAGGCACCAGGAGAATAAGGCAACACCGGCGAGTAACTGTAATAAATTCGAAAAAGCATTATTACAGTCAAGTATACAGCCTGTGTCAAAAGCGCGCTCGATTTTTTATTCTGGACCGCAACGCCCGAGCTTCGCGTCACGTCAGGCTGTATGGCACGCGCTGCACTCAATTACTTAATCCGCTTGGTCCACTTCTTCGACTTTATCTGCTTCGCCATTGGTCAAACCAGTGAATTAACTGACCAATAAATGGATGAAGTGGATCTAGTGGGCATCATTGCTATTGCTCAG